CAATGTTGTTAGTCTCTTGATAGTGCCGGCCTGAAAGAGTCACACAGATTTACAAAAGACGTAGTGTTATTAACTCGTTGCCAATAACTTCAGCCCAGCCAACAGAGACGCTTATTGAAGCTAAGAAGGAGTCACCACTAAGCATATCTGGTATGCTGTTGTTATTACGTTGTAACATTGGCTAGTGAAAATAGTAAATATACGCTGAATTTAGCGTGCAACGAGAAGAAAAGGGTATTTTCTCAGACTAACTTTAAACTCCCTGGAAAGAAATCAACTTGTAACTTAGATTCCTAAGCTTTCACCCAAAGCCTTTAGCAAAATGTGCAGCAGAATCAATTTGTTTAGCACGCCTTATGTCATTTAGTCATGGCAAGGTGCAGCGGAAGCAGTCTTGATGCTGCTTTTGTCGCAATAAGTCCAGTCAAATTGATTTTTTTTTTAGCTACATGTACCAAGCGTTTCGTGTGTCAAGTCAACGGACAAATTGTCGCCATCTTGAATTTGGAGACAATGGGGCTACTTCACTTCACATTAAGATAATCAAATTAGAAGCGGCGTGACCAAGTGGTTTAGGTGAAATCTAGAGGCCCCTGGTTTAAATCCACCACCCTACCGCTATCTGGATTTGTTCCCGGTAGTCCCGAGTTCAACTCCTCGACTGCGTTGTGTAAATAGCCAACTGGTCAGCCTCCAACCAGTTGGGATTCTTAATGGCACAGCAGTGTTAGATACAGTTGACACTTGAACTAAGTTATTCATNTTTTTTTTTTTTTTTTTTTAATTAGGTAATTTATTAGTTAGTCAATTTACATGTGTGTATTAATTGTTTGATTGAATTTTTTATCTTCACAGCCTCCTGGAAGACACCCTTGTTGATTGCTGCCTTGCTACTTGTCCCTATTGTGATCTTGGTGATCACTTTTTGGTGCAGGCTCAGAGAAAGACAGAGAGGAAATGAGGAGAGCGAAACACGGCTACAGGAAAACGCGCCAAGGGGAAGAGAACAGAGAGAAGAGGAATCGAGAGAAGATAAGGAGTAACGTAAATACTCACGAATTAAGTACGTCGGGTCGTTTAAAGATTCAGCGGAGGCTGGGGCAAGCGAAGTTATGGTTTGAATAAAGGACAACAGCAATAACGCTAAGGACTTTAAAAAAAAAAATTATATTGCTTTAATGAAAGGGCAGTAAAGAGTTAGTCCTATTTATATGTTAATATATTCATAGCTTCGAGAAATCCCTGTAAGTTCCTGTAGGTCAGTGGACCATACGGATGTGGGGTGAGATGGAATACTAGGAAGAGTGACGGGTGTTAAGATTGCTTTCAAGCTCATTCTGGGCAGTAAAACTGCCCGTGATACTCAAGTCAAAGGCCTGTGTGTCTGTTGTTTTACTCGCTCTTTTTGACCATGAGGCTGTTAGAGGAAAAAAACCAGAAGTTTACTTTGTTTGTTGTTGCAGTGTCATAGTTTAAACAGCGGACATAATTAAGCTTGAAAAATTTTGACGTTTATTACTTACATGATTAAATTAACGATATGTAGACCTGTAGTCTATAAAGTCGTTTCACTCTAAAGTTACTTAGGCTATGCACTGTTAACTTATATTTCATTTAGATGCTTTTTTTATCGGCGGTTTTAGCGATAGCTGCAATGTGCCAGATTTCTTCAAAAGAAATGGCACAATAATTAGTAAAAATGGCTTTGAAAGGCCAAGAAAAGACAAGTTTTGTATTCATCGTTTCAACTCTGAACGTGTGATTCAGATTGGTTCAATTGCAATTTGAACACTGTACGATTTATTCTACTTGCAGTATTAAATAATTTGAAAATAATTTGAAAGTACTTACGAGTATCAAGTTTGATATTTGATAGTGTAGTTTCTAAAGAGAATTCTATACACAATTTCAGAGTTGCCTTTTATGCAATTTAGATTTTATAAGCAAGCTATCTGAGTTTTAATATAATTTGTTGTCTGCTTTCTATTTAAATATCTGACAAAATTTTTGCTGTCCATAAAAAGTAAATCCTGTTGTAGTGTTTGTTTTTTTCAGCAAAGAAATGAATGAAATTCATGTTCAGTCCTAGAATGTCACATAAGCTTGGTTTGCTTTATTCATTTTAAAGGCAATCAAAACAGTGGTGACCCTAACTGAGGTCGGGACATTAATCCGAATTGTTCAAATTATTATCATCATAATTATAACCATTTCAACGAAAAGCAAAGAAAAGCATGGTTGCTTCTCAAGAAAATCCTATCATTTTCTGTGTTAAAAAAAAAGTCAGACTCAACTTAAACGATTTTAGGGATGCTCTAATGTTATTGGCTGACATGTCTGTAACCATTGCGACATCAATATCCTCACATGTGAGAGGTAAAATGGTATCGTCACTTCTCACGACGTAGAAATTACATTTTAGGAACAAGAAAAACCTCGATATCTCATCAAAGAATTTTTTGTAAGATGGAGACTGTTAGCGGGGAAAAAGACGAAGTAAATCGGCCGGGAAGAATCGATGTGACGTTTCCTAGTGCTCAGACTTTTTTTCCTGGTCTGCTTCGTTTCGCCCGGACTAACAGCAGGCATTGGATCTTCAAGGAATACTGTCAGTTTGTTTTGCCACTGACTTTCAGTGGGGAAGCTAACCTTTAAGCCATTAAGTGATGTGAAATGGCGCGCTTGCTGTCAGCGTTCCCTTGCTCTTTTTAGTTCAAGCATTTCAAAACATATGTATGACAAGAAAACGACTCAAAGGTTACTTTTTAAACAATTCAAACAAGATTAAAGAAACTTTAAAATAGTTTCTTTCACGCAAATCCAGTGAAATATCTACAACTAACAGCTGTGCGCCCGTAATTTTCGGAAACAACTGTTTTTGATATAATTAGGTCTTCAGAGAATGCAGATCTTAAGGTGGCTTCCTATAGTTTTGCGATCGCGCGAGCGCTGAGGAAGTAATCTGCGCGGGCTCAAAGGAAAACGTCAGTGTTTTTCGATATTTTATTGCGTCAACATGGGCACAAAAAGCAAAACTGACAATGTATTTTCTCGCGTTTCATTCGGTGAAATTCCGTAAAATTTGGCAGATAGGTAGCAAATATTTCATTTTAGTCGGAGCTCGTTTTTCAGGGAAATCTATAGGACCAGATTTTTTGCAGCGGTGAAAGACATAAATTTGAAAATATCGGGGAAAAATGCCTTTACAAACCCTACGTTTTTCGTGTTTAAAATTCGTATTCCGCTGGAAGCGATGTGATGAAAACATTTTGGAAGATTTCACCGAACGAAGTTCATGAAAATCACAAATAAAGTCATAAAAACAGTAAAATACACTTTTGTTTGGGCATTTATAATTTAAGACTAAATCCCACAATTTTAACAGAGATGATAGCAAAACACTATTTAATCATTGCTTATTACATGTAATTAGTTTGAGACGACTAGGTTTGAAAGCTAATACAAGAACAGCATTCAAACCATAACACTTGCGCGCGCAACGCCATAAATGATTACCCAATGGAGCCACCTTAAGGTGCTTTTCTTAGGAATGATTTGGGCCAGGATTAATGAACCAAGATTATTCAAATATTAATGCATAAAACAATGGACATTTATCCTCGCTTAGTGGGGAATTGAATCGACGGCTCCTTTAATTGATGCACCATAAACCGAGTGATCTGGGATCATTGACGACTCGTTGATCTTTATCTGGATCATCCTAAAGGAACACACCCTTAGTTTGCTTTATCGAAAGATTCGCACCCATAAAGACCATATTCTTTCATGGGCCAGTCTTGCTCACGTGTTGGGTAATCCAAGCAATTTTCGCGCTACATTTCGGGTATAAAGGGAAACGCGTGGCTGGCTTATTTTATTACTATTACTTTTTTTTGTTTTTGTTTTTTGTTTTTGTTTTTGTTTTTGTTTTTTCCTATTTCCATAATATGCATTTATAAACTGGTCATAACCGCTTGTTTCCATCCTCGCTTCGTTTTCTTAACCCTGATGAAGATTATTTGAAGCCTGTCTGAACGAAATATAAATGTACAGAAGGTCTAGATAACCGCAGACACGTAAAGATTTTAAGGAAAACGACCATTTTGTTAAGTTTACAAGACATGTTTCGACAGAACTTCTGTCATCTTCAGTTGAATGATTACAAAGCAAGTTGAATAATAAGTAGTAAAAAATGCTAATACTAATTATGTTAATTATTTTAGCTTCACCTCGTACTCATACAAAGTAGGTCTCATTAGGACTCTTGTTGACAGGGCCTACAAGATCAACAACACTTGGTTGGGGTTACA